CACAAAGCTGTGTTCAGAGATGTTTTCCGGGCCATTGGATCAGAGCTACCCGAATCCCTCTGGAGCCGGCTCTGGCAGGAGGCTTTAACCCTGGAGCCTGAGACAGTGAAGCCAACTTTTTCCTACTGGACTCCTCAAGGCTGGTGTGGTCTGGACCTGTGTTGTCTCTGGCCAAGTGGACCAGGTTGATTCCAGTACATACACCAACTTCTGGCCCAGTGTGGACCAAGCTTTCTACTTGGAGAGCACCCCCATGGCTGAGCTGGCTGAGGACTCATTTGGAATCTCTAAGGAACCCCAGCTGCTGGGTCTTCAATCCCTGGTGTGAGGGGAGCACTTGGCATAATGCTTCCTGTTCCAGCTTCTGCTCAGGCAGAGATGGAGGTCGCTGGGCACCTTGACATCTTGGATGCCCCCCACAACTTCAAGGCCAGTGTGCGGAAAACCACTCTCTCAAGCCCCAAGATGCGTGTGCAGTAGTTTCCTCCAGGCCCAGTCCCGTGGGGTAGCCTCAGGAAAGAGGGCTTTTCTTTACAGAGCTTGGAAGATGCATGTCCCTAAACCAGAAGCCCAGAGAAGGGCTATTAGCTGAAACAGACTGAGGCCTCCACCTGCAAGCTGGACGGAGCTACCAGTGGGCAGCCAGCAACACACAGCTCCACTTATTTGAAGCAGCTGGGGATGCTCTTCCAGACCCAGTGAGGATGATGGCTAGCCTCCTCCTCAGGAGTGGGGCTGGGGATGGCATCAGGTGTCAGTCACAGTCAAGTTGTCATCAGTACATCCCTGGGGTGGAGGGAGGGCCCCAGTATGAAGTGGTCCTGCCATGCTCAGTAGTTTCTACCAGTTGCTGCCAATGATCTAGCTCCTCATCTGCAGTGTGCTGCACAGTCTGCTGGGCAAAGTGACATGCAGCGGACTTCAGGGTGGGGATGCTGAGGAGAGACGGCGGGTGTTTACTGAGCCCTGTGTATGCTGGCACCGGTGCTGGACTTTGGGGGTTAGAATGAGGGGAGAAGTTGCACCCTAGAAGCTGCAGGTGGAGACAGGACAGTGGAAGGGGGAGGGGTGGGGAATGAAGGGAGCGTGTGAGTCAAGGCCGTGGGCCTCCCTGGATCAGCTGGAAACAGGAACCTCAGATCCTCCCCCCCCATACTCAGGGATGGGATCAGCCAGTGTTTCCAGAACATGAGATCTTTGGTGGGCTGCATCTCTGGGAAGGAGGGCGGGCTGAGGGGAGGAAGTGGTGTCTAGCCTGAGGCTGCAGCTGTATCCTCTGCCTGCTTCTCCACAGCAGTTGTTCACAGGTCTGGCCTGCTCTCCCTATGTGGTGCCCCGACCATGACCCTGAAAGGGGCTGTGGAAAGGCTCCCTACCCCCACCCACCTGCCTCCTGGTCTCAGACATTCCCGTGTGACTCTGGAGGGTGGAGATGAAGCCTGGAAGCTTCTCAGAATTCTCTGTTGTCCCCTCCCCGGCTGGTAGCCAGAATTCCCCACCTTTTCTGTGGGACCCGGATGGCCTGCCCAGTTGCTCAAGCCTGCAGGGCACATGGATCTGAACCTTACTTCCACTCAGGAAAAACCTGGCTTATCCAAGGGTGTGCCTGGCAGGCCTCAGCCAGGGGCCCTGTGCCAACAGTGTAGTTATCGGAGGGCCCTGGCTTGTGCACTGTGTTCAAGGGTGCTTTGAGCCCCCCTGGCTTAATTGAGAACCATTTCTCGTCTGGCTAGGATTCGAGGTCTGGAGAGAGCATGGGGCTCTGGAATCCGTCCCAGGGAGAAGCCTGACTGATGACAACCAGTCCACAGGTCCACTTAGGGGAGGCTTCTATCCACTGGAGCCCAGTTCCACAGGGCTCAGCGAGGTCCTGGGCTTTTGTGAGGTTAGCCTTGGGGACGCCAACACTGCCCTTTCCTTACTGTCCTCTTCTGAGCAGTTGCTGAGAACATTCCAGGACCTGTCGGTAAGCCTAGCCTCTTGTCCACTGGTGCCTCTTCCATGGGAAGTCCAGCACTACTTCGATAACCCTCAAGGCCAGGTTCCCAGGGTGTGGTCAACCCCACGGATGCCAGCTCTGCCCAGGGACCACCATTCTCCTACCACAAAGAATTTACCTGTGTTTTCTCTCTTCAGTTGTCTCCCCTTCCTTTATTCCTTTCTTTTTTCTTTAGTCTTTTGACACAGGCCTTCATGTAGCTCAGGATGACCTTGAATTTGCTACGTAGCCAAAATCCTTCCTACTTCCACCTCCCAAGAATGCTGGGACTGGGCTGGAGAGATGGCTCAGAGGTTAAGAGCACTGACTGTTCTTTCAGAGGTCCTGAGTTCAATTCCCAGCACCCACATGGTGGCTCACAACCATCTGTGATGAGATCTGGCGCCCTCTTCTGTATACATAATAAATAAATTTAAAAAAAAAAGAATGCTGGGATTACAGGCATGAATCGGGACATCAGACTTTTTTCTTTCTTTCTTTTAACCTTAAAAGCCTTTACTGGGTCCAGCTGGAATTTACTCCTTAGAGCCCTCACAGGCGTCGCTAAGGACAGTGGTGGCCTTTTATCTCCTTTGCAGACAGTGATTGAAGCAGGTGTAAATAGGGCTGACTCCTTCTGGGGCCCTAAGAGAAAAAACAGTTTTTTTTTTTTTTTGGGGGGGGGTTCCAGCTTTAAGAAGTGCCTGCATTCCTGGCCTCCCTCCTCTACCTTCTGGAGACTTCCCAGGATGCTAAGACAGCGAGTGGTCTACAATGACAAGGTCCCTTTGTGTTTGGCTACTGGGCCTCTGCCCCAAAACTCCTGTTGACTTTTGGGGAGGGTTCTCTGTTTGCCATTGGACTGGCTGCAGACACCCATGTGCCCAGGTTGAAGGTCAGCTGGAGCATCCTCAACTACAAGAGGCTGACTCATCAGCGGCCCTGGGAGGAGGCCTGATAACTGACCCTGAGTAAGGGAAAACTGCGGCATAAGCATGTGTGGCTGGTTCTGATGCTAGGTAGAGGTGGTGTGGTGGGCAGAATCACAGCCGCATGAAGATGTTTAGGTCATCTTCACGATTTGACAGGACAAAGGGGCTTTGAAGACGGCATTAAGGACTTCCAAGTGGTGAGATCAACCTGAATTACCCAGGCAGGTGTGGTGATAGCAAAAGAATCCTCACAAAGAGACAGGAGGGAGCTTCAGAGACAGAGTCAGAGGTGGAGAGATAGAGACACAGAGACAGGAAATGTCAGAGAAAGGGAGAGACAGACAGACAGACAGACAGAAACAGGAAGAGATGACACACTCACATAGAACCAGGAAGAGACACAGAGCTGCTACCACCTATGGCTCTGAAGATGGAGCAGGAGGCTGCGAGTGAGCCAGGAACAGAGGCATTGCTTGAAGCTAGGAAATTAATATAAACAGTCTTCCCTGAGGTTCTGGAGGAGTCAGCTCTCCTGAAACCTGCTTCTATCACGTCTGGCCTCCAGAGCTGTGAAGTCACACGTCAGTGTGTCTGTGGTCACTTGTCACATTGGTCCCTTGTCACAGGAAACTCGCAGGGATTGCCTGGTGTGCCTTCCCCTCCTGTCAGAAGCCCCTAGGTTCTTCTGGGACCCCTCTGTGGCTTTCAGGTGACCCCGTTTTACACCAGAACTTGGTTCCGTTTTCAGCGCAAATGCAGACAGGAGAACTCTGCATCCTGTGCGTGTGGAGGTGACTCCCCGTCCAGCAGCAACCATGAAGCACTGACTCATAGCTACCTCCTAGAAGTAAGAAACGAACAGTTCAAAACTTGTCAAAATAGACTGGGAACATATGGGCACACGGATGAACTAAAATACCAGGGGAACCGGGCTAACAACCGACTGAACACAGACTGAGGGTGTGACACCCACTTCTGGACTCCAGAAAGTGGAGGACACTTACCGCTGTGATGGAAACAGTCCCACACACTGTCATCTGACTACCCAGGGTGTGTGTCAAGGGACCCAGAGGCAGACACTTCCCTGCCGCCCCTGGGACTTTAGTTTGCTTCCATCTCCAGTGCTGGACCTACCTGGCCTTCGCTGCATCTGTCTGTCCCTCTGTTCAGTCCAAATAGATGCCCAGACCCTGGCCTTGTGCTTAATTCCACATTCCTCTTGCAGATGTCCAACTAGACACGAATACCCACGCAGGGCTGGAGAGAGGGCTCAGTCGGTACAGTGCTTGTCTTACAAGTAGGGGAACCCTGAGTTCAAGTCTCAGAATCCAAGAAGAAAGTAAGGGGTGGTGTGCACCCTTCACACTTCTAATTCTAGTGTTGTTGGGAGGTGGTGGAGACACATGGGTCCCTGGGAACGGCTGCTCAGCCAACCTCGCTGAATTGTTGAGTTCCAGGCTGGTGAAAGGCCCTGTGTCAAAAAAGCAAAGTGGATGTTGGTCTAAGGGACAGCTGCCGAGGTTTACCTGTGGCTTCCCATGAGTGTACTTACACTGAAGAACACACACGCGCACACACACACACACACACACACACACACACACACACACGCAATGGATCAGTGAATCCAAGTGTCCTGTGATGTCCCCCCGGCTACAGGGACTCTGTTCCTTCTTCATGACTTCCTCTGATGCAGAGCAGGCACGTGGGGCTCTCTGAAGAGGTCTAGTTGATGCCCACATGGTAGGCATCCACGAGAAAACAGACCACGGTGTTAACATGATCACAGTCATCGTCGGCAGCATGGCCACTGGAATCACGGTGGGTGAGCGGCTGCTCACCCCAGTGAGGCAGGTCTTGCTGTCTGAGTCAGCTGCCCCTGTGAGAGCAGCTGTCTGCTCTAGTCTCCCTCTTACCCTCCAGGGCCTGGCTCCCCCTTTCCCTTCCTTCCTGTCTGGAGGCTGCATTCTGTAGGTCATACCAAGAGACTTTCATGCCCTCTGCCTTAGGGCTAGACTCAAGGCAGGCCAGATGGAAGGGGGCCTGTGATGATTTCCTGGAGCTAACAATACACATGCACTCTCTCACAGTTCCAAGTGTCCAAGCCCAGGGCCCTCCCCAGGCTCTGGGAGCATCTGTCTGGACCTCTCCCCACTTCGGGTGGCTTGTCTTCCTTGGCTTGGAGAAACATCTCTGCCATCGTTGCCTCCTTCAGCTCTGCATATCTGCCATGTTGTCTTCCAGTGGGGACACCAGTCACTGAGTGATGACTTCACCTGGTGGTACTTACCTTGCTCCGTGTGGAGAGAGAGCGCCCGCTTTTAAGTGAGTTCACATTCTGAGGTCAGGGTGGGCATGACAGTTGGGGTTCAGTTTAGACCTCTGCCAGACCCTGTGAGCTGCCGGTGTCCATGACTGAGAGCTGCCGCTACCTGTAGAGTGGCTGCTGTCCTGGGCTTCACTTATTGGTCCCCACCCCAGGTGCCCTCACCCCCCACTTTTTTCTCTGAGGCTCCCCGGTCCTACACATTCCACGTGAGCAAACCTTCTCTGAGGTGCTATCTGTCTCCTGTTGGGACACCAAGACACAGTGTCAGTACTAAGCATATCTACAGTAGTCTCCTTCTGTTCCCCTTCCCACTGAACAGGAACTGGGGACCTGGCAGGGGTGGAGGCTATCTCAGTAACCCAAAGGCGTTGGTCTGAGTCACTGCCTAAAATCAGGAGGCTGAGCCTGGCCAAGGTCTGCCTCAGGGCTGTGCTCCTGATGGGCCTCACTGCCTCAGACAACAACCTTTCCCCTCTTTTTTCAGGTTCCCAGGGAAAGCCCCCTGCTTATGGTATGGAGACGCAGCTGTGGGTGACAGAGGCCCAGCTCCCACCAGTTTCAGCAAAAGAAGCTTGGAGAGTTCTGAGGAGGCCTGGCTTGGGGTGCCTGTGGATTCAGGCATGCAAATGATGGCCTAAAGCTGGCACACCTCCCTGTTTCCAGTACTCCGATGCTTTTCCAGACACTCTCAGCAGCTCTACTGGGTGGGTCTGAGATGGCTCCCAGAAGGCTGGTCAAGGGGATCCATCCAACTAGGCTTCCCCTGGGAAGCAGGCTTCTTTCTCAATGGCGTTGACAATTGTCTTAGGGGAGATGCTTGTGCATAGGGTCATATGCTGGGCAGTTAGCTTCCCCAAAGTGAAACTTGAGTGCCAATGAGACTTGAGGGGAAAGTGGGTGGAGCTAGGCTGCATAGGTCCCACTGGGGAAGGGAAGCTTCTTGGGTCAACTGTAGTGTTGAGAGAACATAGGCCATTGGGTTTCATCTTCTATACTGTAGGGTCCTCCCTGGCCAGAGAGGCTAAAGGAGAGGGTGGTCAGAGGCTGTGGGGAGGGGGCAAGGTGCTCTTTGATGTCCTGTGTCAGATTTAAGACACCCCAGGTATCTCAACACCACAAACCCTCCCACAGGGATGGTGGCTTAGACTCTGAGCAGACCTGACTGGCATCCTGAGCTCACCAAGGGTCTAATACCATAACAGGAAGGATCTACGTCATCCTCACACATCACTGCCCTTTTCCATCCTGGACCTTGGTTTCCTGTTCCTTTTTGAGAGGAGACTTTGATAGGCTCCAAAGATGGTCAGGATGGGTCATGTCCCCATTTCACATCCCCTGGCTCCTGACTTTGGATGTCTCCCTTGGTCCAGCCCAGCCAGAGGCCCCTGAAGGCATGGTGGCCGGTCCAATGCTCCCCTTGTTTCCTCCGTATCCTCAACAGACCCTTGTTTGGTAAGCTGCCGTGTGAAGCTCTGCTCTGAGCAAGGCGGGGAGGGCTCGGAGCTCTCCCGGCCACGCACTGAATAAACAAGCCTGGTGCCAGCTCACTGCCAGGCGGTGAAGGACACAGAGAGGCCAAGACGATGGAGAATCAGAGCCATCTCTGTCTGGAATCCTGACTCGGTTCTTGCCAGCTGTGAGGCACACTTGGGTCAAGACTCCCCTGCCCCTGTGCCTCAGTTTCCTCCCCTGTAAAATAAGATGGGAGTCCAATCTTCCAGAATCACAGTGGGGTTCAGATAGAGCACCCTGGTGCTTTCCAACAGGCTTGGGGGCACAGACACAGCCTTAAGTTCTCGCTGGCCTTTCCTGCTGCTTGTCACACAGATGTTTGTTCATGTTCCGTTATAAAACTCCTATACATGTAACGTGTAAATCCTTGGGCTAGAGATGCCCCTCAGTTGGTAGAGTGCTGGCCAGGCATGCATCATGTCCCAGGTCAACTTTAGCACTACAAGAACCCAGCATGGTGGTGCCTGTTCGTCCTTCTAACCCTTGTGAGGAGGCGGCAGGAGAGTCAGGGATCGAGGTCATCCTCTGTCACATAGTGAGCTAGAGATTACTATCCTGGACTCCATGAGACCGTATCTCACAACAGAAACAGAGGAAATTCCCTGCTCCCTTCCTCGCACGTCCCTTCTGCTCCTGTGAGATGTGTTTGTCAGGTGAGTGAGGTGACAGGTGATAAGACACAGGGCCCGTCCTGCCCTGGTCCTCTCTAGTCCCCATCTTCTGTCTTTCCCCTCGTCCCCTGTTCCTGGGAAGTGGCCGATTTCCTTGCTGCCCTCACGCCCTTTCGCATGGACCCCACAGCATTCATTTGTTCCCAGCCAGCCCCATCCCCACCTACCATCTCTCCCGGACTCTCTTCTCTACCTTTAAGAGTCAGGTATATGAACCAGTGTCCAAAGGGTCAGAGCACGGTCACCCTTGCCTGACTTGCCCTGGCCTCTCAGGAGCCTCTGGTTCTCTTTCCTGTAGCCAGAATGGCGGCGTGCCTTGAGGATGGGGTGGACCAAAGTTGCTTGGGTACATGGGTGAGGAAGGGAGCTCCTGGCCTGGTGGCTGGAGTCTATCATGGTTATCTGGAGAATCTCACAGCCTTCCTCTCACTCACTGCTACTTTATCCCCAGGTCAGCGAAATCTCTCCTGATTTTGGACCCTCTGTGGGTGTGAGGGTGGGATAAAGACAGGGAAACAGGAGCTGACTGGGAGAGAGGGGAGTCGGGGAGGGGCTGAGGAGTGAAGGGAGGGAAAATAAGGGATGTAATGTATGAGAGAAGAATAAACGTTGTTTAGAAAGTTGCTTTTTCTGCTTGGTGTGATTTTGGAATTCCTTACTGGACACTTCGGCTGTAAGACGCCATTCATTTAGATCAAATAGGTCGACAAAGATTTAAAACAGGTCTGTGCTGGCTGTTGCTGGGAAGGCCCAGTAGTACATTGCACTTGTGCTCTGTCTGCGTGCTGCGCCTTCTGCTGTCCTGGGGCCCCACTCTCTGAGGACCTGTGTTTTGTGGAGACCTATGAGCTCAGGATCGGGAGGTCAGCATGGGTTTGCCAAACCCCTGGGGGAAGCTGTGCTCCCAAGAAGGTGTGTTTGGCACCTGAGCACCTAGATCTAGTCCCCAAGTCATTAGTAATGAAAACAAGGTCCATCCCATGCACAGGGCATTATAATGAGAAATCCACACATTCGGTACCAGATCTAATGAGAGACCCACAGATGACTGGGAAGAAGACTTATTTATTAAGGGATGAAATGGGGATCACACACTCAGGAATATAAAATGAAGTAGACGCTGCTGCTGATCCAGCTGCTGTTGTCCTGCCGTGCTGCCCAAGGGCGATGGGGACCAACCAAGCCATGTTCTCCGCCACTTGCTCCTGCTCTGACCACCCAAGAGAGCACGTGACACCGATCCTCAGTTCTTAAGCAGTCACCTACGCAGAGAAGACCACGCCCTAGGGCTTGTCACCCCAATCCCATTGGTTGAACAGATAGAATTCCCACAGCAGGGCATAGGCATGTGTACCACATACTGAGTCTCACTGACGCTGTCTTTGTGGAATCTAGCCCACGGTCTCCGTCCCACCTCCAGCCATCCCCAATAGCCAGATTCTGTTTAAGAACAGTCTTTGTTCTCCGTAAATCTCCCACTGTGCCCCATCGCTCCCCTATCTCATAGGAGGAGTCAAACGAACATGCCACTGACCTAGAGAAGAGCCAATATTTTATTCCAGAGACTTAATTCCCCTGGCGGGGGGGGGGGGGGGGGGGGGGGGCGGGGCGGGGGGAGAAGCAGCACAGGGTAGGTTGTATACAAAGGCACCTTGCCCAGGAGGATGCTGTTCTCAGTGAAGACATTGACTAATCTACATGGGGGCGTGAGGATGATTTGGGGACCTGGAACTGTGACCGAACCTGGAATAGTGGACTTGTGTGCATACCTCCATGCTGGCCTGAACACACTTGTGGATGCTGCAGAACACTCTTGGCACACCTGATCCATGGGTCAGCAGTGCCCAGCTCTCTGAACTCACAGGGCATCCTAAGGTCTCTCTACTTGCCAGCTCCTCTCAGACCTGAGTCCAGCCTCGCCTGGCTCTGTGCTAACAGGTCTCAGCTAGCATTCAGAAGAAAACAAAACAGCGAATGAATGCCACACGCAGGAAGCAAGGGCTCCGTGGAGCAGGTGGATAATAAAGGGTGAGGGCTGGGAACTGAAACTTCCCGCTGCCCCTGGGTTGACCGGACTAGTTGGAGGTCTGGGTCTGGGGAGCAGAATGGGAACTCTGGAGACCAAGGTCACATCAGCAAATGACTGCCTGTGTTCCCTGTCTAAGCAGCCCTCAGACCACACGGACAGACAGAGCTGAGATAGCGTCAATGTTCAGCGCCTCATCGCTCCAAGGGCACTCCAGGGCCAGCAGGCCATTTTCTGCCATCGTGTGGGGCTTAAGCACTCTATGAGACTCCCAGGGTGTGGGGCAGGGGCAGACGGCAGCTGGGTGAGCCCTGTGGCAGCCAGCCCGCTGGGGGCCTGCTCACCCCTCCCTGGGCTCAGGCGAGAGCCTGGAGCACAAAGCTACTTTTATTTATGGTGGTGTCGGGGCCAGCCTCTGTCTAGACAGCTGCTGTTATCATTCGAGGCCATCCTGGAATGCGTGTCCTCATCTACTGGGAACAGAGGACAGTGAGCAGATTAAACAGCTCGTAAAAATAAGCTGGCAGCCGACAGAGCTCTAAAGACCGGGGTAACCTCGGCCGGGTCAGGTGTCCTCGTCGGTCTTGGACAGAGCAATGTTTACGGAGAAAACAGGAGTGATGTGGCCCTGGAGAGGCCAGCCTAGCTGTTTTGGTGCCCCTCTGCAGAGGCGCCCTTCGGGAGGCCACAGAGCATGCCCTCATAAGTGTAGGAGGAAGGGGCCACCTTGCCCAGGACAGGCTTTCTAGAACAACCAAGAGTCAGTCTGCAGAAAACTTGGCCTCCCAGACCTGGGAGTCAACATGAGTAGAGATCAGAATGGTCCACTTTTAGCATTCCCTAAGGTTGTGTGTGTGTGCGTGTGTGTTTACAAACTAGTATGTGTGCATATGTATAAGCAGGGGCACGTACATGTGTGTGCATGTGGAACTGACATCAGGAGTCTTCCACCTTATTTTTTGAGACAGCGTCTCTCACTGAACCTGGAGCTCACAGATTTAGTCAGACCAGTGGTTCTCAACCTGTGGTTCGAGACACCTTTGGGGGTCGATTATCAGATATTTCATTATGATTCACAACAGTAGCAAAAGCAGTTATGAAGTAGCAATGAAATAACTTTATGGTTGGGGTCACCACAACATGAGGAACTGTACTAAAGGGTCGCAGCATTAGGGAGGTTGAGAACCGCTGAGCTGGACCCTCCTGTCTCTGTGTAGCCTCAGAGCTGGGGTGACAGATGCACTGTCAAGCTTGACTTTTCACATGGGTGCTGAGGATTTGAATTCAGGTCCCCATGCTTGCACAGCAAGCACTTTGTCCACTGAGCCGTCTCTCCAGCCCTGTGGGGTCATTCTAAACTCCAAACAGAAGTGTTCTAGAATTCCCAGGACAGGTGAGGAGGAGAAGACATGGGAAATGCGACTAAAGCGACTTAGCCTCTCTAAGCCTGTCACGTAGCAGCAGCCAGCAGGTGATCTTAGGCACAGATGTACCAGTACTGCCGGTCTATGTTGTGTGTGTACACGTGCACATGCATGCTCACGCACACTGGGGGGGGGGGGGGCGGTGCGGGATCCTGCTGGCTTTGGAGGATGCAGGTCTGAACACTAGCATCCATGTTTGAACCAACCCCAGCTCCTGCTGGGCTCTGGGCCCAAAGATGACATCAGGAAAATGTTCCCACTGGCTCTTGGCCGTACTTAAGCCTGTGGGGTGCTACTGTCCTGAGCCCACACCCCACCATGGGGCAACAGCCTTGCTGGCTTGGCTCATGGCTCCCCAATGAGCCAGGGGCCAGATGCAGAAGAGGGTAGAAATCCAGGGCCTTTCTCAGGACACTTGCTCTGAAGGGACCATCTCAGAAAAGTCAGAAACTGAATGGAGTCAGAAGGCGTCAGAGATTACCCTGGCTCCTGAGGGTCTGGGGTTAATATTCTTCAAAGGGTTTTCTGTGGGAGGTATTGACATCATGTGCTTGGGTGACGTCATCATCGTCATCATCATAGTCGTCATCGTAATGCTACTGTACTAACCAAATCCAGGATTCTGTTACCTTACAGAGAGCTACCCAGCAGCAACCAATTTTATATAGAAATGTACATAGATAAGCTCCCTTTCATCTCTGGAAAACTACTCATCTTTCCGAATGCTAGTAAGGCATCCCTGCCCAGACTGAATGGCAGGGCCCATCACATCCTCCTCTGCAGCCTATGCCCCTTGGTCTGCTGGTCTGTGTCCTCCCACCATGCCCTGGTTCAGGTTTTCTGAGTCTCTATCTAGTGTCCACATGTGTCTGGCACAGACGAGGGAGGCTAAGACTGGTCTGTCAAATGGAATAATAGAGTCTGGGTCTTTGACAACATTTTTATAGGCTATCCTGACAGGGACCCCTGGTCTCTGAGCCCGACATGTTCTCAGGGTGATTCTGGCCTGGGCTGCTGCATGGCTTCCCTTGAAGGAAGTGACACCTGCAACTAATCCATCCTTTCAGGAAGTCAGTGGGGGATGCTCAAAGAGGCCATCAGCTTCCTGGAGGGCTGCTGCAGACCCAGGAGGAAGTGTTGGGCCAGAGGGCGGGGCTGTCTGGGAGCGCTGGGCATTCCTAGGATGCGTCTCTTTCCCACTGTCCCATAAATCAATGAGATGGTAATCTAAGGGCAGGCGTGGGTTTCGTGGCCTTTCAGGTCGGTCCTATCTCTGTACTCACACTGCCTTTGATCTTGTTAATGCCATGAGCTTAGCTGAAAGTTATCATTATCCCCCTATGTTAGAAGGCGCGGGCAGGTCCCTGGGAAGCTGACAGGGCCACCTTCACGGATGTTCTGAGTCCAAACGCCAGACTTTTGATCTTGAGCCTGAGTCTCTGTACTTCTGCAGCGACGCTGTCCCTGTCGTGGGCCATCCTGGGGATATCTTAAGTTCCGCCACCACCATTCCTGGGCTGGCAACACAGGTTTCAGGGAGAGACGAACTGCTGGGGACTTTTCTTCCCTTTTTCTAATTCTCTGGAGAATTCAGAAGAAAAAATGGGAGCTGGGTAAGAGTGCAGAGGGGCATTCCTGAGGGCTGCAGGACACCGCTGGGACCTCAGGGAAGCAGGGCTCCCCAAACCCTCTATTCCTCAGCTACACTCCTCTCAGATGGAGCCCTCCCAGGCCTCTCCCTGAGGCAGAGCCAAATTCTAGCTTAGGCAAAGGGTGTTTTCCTTCCCGGCGGACAAAACAGAGCTGACGCTTTCAGGAGGGACTGAACAGTCTGTCCACTCTGGCGGCTTCAGCCAGGATTCCTGGACGGACACAAGCATGCTTTCACAGGCAACAAGATTAATCATGCGTCTCCTTCCTCCTCCCCACCCTTTCCCAGTCACCCGCTCAGCTCTGCTTCACAGCAAACTTTCTGAGAAAACGCTGCCTAGTGGCCCCAGGAAGTGATCTGGAGCCCGGAGTCGTACAGCTCTTGACACAGCCTCCTGTACACAGTCCAACTTTCAGTGAACCCCAGTAGTCTCATGCTGGGGAACATCCTGCCCACCCTTTA